TTATGTGATTTCTATTTTTACTTGTAGCTCGTCAGAGAAGAAAGATGTAGAAGATGAATCCTTTCATTCCCACCAATGGCCTCCAAACTGGCCCAAGCCACCTCAGGGCAACCTCAGCAACACTGAAAGTAATTTACAAGCAGAAGAGTTGACTGAATCGAGAGTAATAAAACGGCAGACCTCTAACCACAGTGAAGGAGAGGAAACAGAAAAACTAGGTAAGATCTGTATGACATGGCGTTGGTTTCCATGACTGAGCAGGTGCTGAGTGTGTTGTGATGATTGTGGCTCATAGTTCATGGGAATCAGATATCCAGGATCTCAGAATATTAAAATCTTAAATTTCAAGTTTGAGGAAATCACTGTTCAAACAGTATAAACACCATGTATCCAGGAATAATACTGTAAATCTTACTCAAAAGCTATTAACACAAATTTGGGGTGGCTGTAACAGCAGGGTCGTTTAGTAGAAGGGGAAAGTGGATCGTTGGATGAAACAGATGAACCAGAACTGGTTTGTAAAAATGCTGCAGCTTCAGTGGTGTGGAGCTGGTTTGGCTTTCGTCCGTCAGATACACAACAAAGCACGTTTGGTAGAGCATGCTAGCAGCCGTCGTTATTACCGAAACGATTTTATGTGCACGGCGCTCAAAAATCTGTCAAATGTTTCAGTACGACTTTGCTAAGCTACGAAGCCGCACCGCTTGATGGATTGTCGGAGCATTACGGCTACCGTAGGCGGAGCCTCGCGGAGTGATACGTGCTGTGCTTCAACATAATGTTACCGTACTGTGTGTGTTTAACCTCTTTTTAAGTTTTGTGGATGTTATACATGGTTATGTTCAGGATATGTCGGCCAGTTTCCACTTAATTGAAAGGTTGGTGGTTCAATCACTCGGTGCTCGAGTCTCTCGTCTTCACACTTAAATATCTTTGGCCAAGACGCTGAACCCAACATTTTCTCTGATGAGTTCATTGGAGTGTGTGTAATAGAAGGCACTTAGTGCTCGTGCGAATGGCTGAATGAGGCATGTTGTATAAAGGGCTTTAAGGACTCGAGTAGAAAATGTAAGAACTAGCTCCGATCACATTTGTGTGGGAAATAGTGTTGTATAAAACAGTACCTGGACCCTTGTTCGCACGGCTGGGAACAGTCAGTTAGCCGCTGCCGCACACAGCTGCTCCTGCGGACCTTCCTGCCACGCTGCCAGTTGGTCCTAAGTCAGCCTCACCACAGCCTCAAGGCTCGGCGGCTGGTGGCAACAGACCCACTTCGCCATCCCGGTGTCTTGCAGCCGCCTGACATACGTGGACCTCCGGCCTTATCCGACCCTCCTGGAAAGTGTGCAGATGGTCCTCGGAGGAGAGCCCTAGCTGGTCCAGGATGCCTTGTGGGAAGACGGTACCACTTGGGCTTCCTCTAAGAGCAACGGGAGCAGCCGGGGAGCCGACTCCTCTGCCGGCCATCGCCTGGAACACCTCCAAGAAAGCTTGGAGGTCCACACAATGCTTCTGATGCACTGCCACTTAGGGCAGGGCAATGTGGCCAAAACTATTTATCACGATATACATTTGAAAATTTGTGATAACGATATAACTGACGATATAATTGACACTAGACAAAACACTTTACAACTCCACAACTTTATTAGTGCAAAAACCCATCAATGTATTTTCACTTAAACAAGCAGCTGTTTTTTATCTGCATTAAAGTTATATAAACATGTAACAGTGCAAATGCAAACTCCTCACTGACAGTTTAACCAAAAGGCGTTTCCAGTGGAAACTGGCCGACGTATCCTCAGCATAACCATGTGTAATATCCACACAACTTAAAAAGAGGTTATACACACACAATACGGTAACATTATGTTGAAGCACAGCACGTATCACTCCGCCAGGCTCCGCCTACAGTAGCCGTAACGCTCCAACAATCCATCAAGCGGCTTCGTAGCTCCGCAAAGTCGTACTAAAACATTTGGCAGATTTTTGAGCGCCGTGCACATGAAATCGGTTCGGTAATAACGACGGCCCGCTAGCATGCTCTACCAAAAATAGTGCTTTGTTGTGTATCTGACGCACGAAAGCTAAACCAGTTCCACACCACTGAAGCTGCAGCATTTTTACAAACCAGTTCTGGTTCATCGTTTCATTCAACGATCCGCTTTCGCTCTTCTCGTTCTGCGTCGCCGCCATGCTTTTTGGGCCATGTGCGTATGTAAACAAAGGCACTGCGCATGCGCGTTTTACCCAAATTCTATCACAATATTTCATTTTCTTATCGTTGCCCAACATTTTACCGGTATTACCGTGAACGGTTTGACATGGCCCAGCCCTACTGCCACCTACTCCTGGTGTATTGCCACCAGCTCAGACCCAATCTTCGCCAGTGCCTCCACCGGCTGCGGGGGTTGGCGCTATGACATGCTGGTGTCCTGGGTTTCGGCTCCACCCAGATTCTTGTGCAAACTTTTATTTTATGTTTTGCACTTTACGGTGCTCTGCTCTCTTTTCTCTGCGATTTCCGCTGCCAGCTCCTCCACCTCCAGCAGATCTGATCAGATATCCCCCCTCTCTCGCCCCAGGCGCTACTGAAATAGGGAAGGCATGATTAGATGATGCTCGCCAACTGCGAAGACCAGCCTCCCCTGATACCACACCTTGAACCTGCTGCTTCACTCCTCCCCTGCAGCTGAGCCATCAGCCTCAACTTGCCACACATACACACTATAGATCTGGTGATAATAGAGATAACTTGAAAAATGTCATTTCCTCTCTAGTCTTACAGACACATACACAGTTTTATTCTAAAATACTAGAATAAAACTAAAACTAAAATAACTAATAAAACTAAAATAAATGCTTTGTAATGTCCAATCAGTGCTTTGTGTTATTAATAGGTGTGGCTTTTAATTTAGATGTATTTGGGTTTTTTCAAGCTGTGGTCTTTGTCATGTGATTTTCTAAAAACTTCAGCTTCTAGTGCATCCACGTCCGTGCCAAGCCAGTCCATATCTGCTAAACATCACCTGAGCACTGAGCCTGGCTTGCTTCAGTGCAAGGCATCAGAAACGTCCTTTCCTGCAAATGTGAAATCTGCTGGAAAGAAAAGAAAAAAGTCACCACAGAAGAAAAAAGAGGAGAAGTCATCAAAGAAGCAGAAAAAATCCAAGTCACCACGTAGAGGCTACAAGAGAGAATCTAGATCCACGAGCCCTTCACTTAGGAAGAGATCACGCTCAAGGTAGGTCAGGGGGTGGAGTGTGTGGCTTACTTACCTGGAGATAATTTATCTGCATTTGAGAAGCATGATCACACCTCACACACGCCTTATGGTTCTGTTCTATACATGACATCCATACACCAAATAGCCCCATGGACCCTCCCTCCCTTTATTCATTCACCTCTCATTAGTACACGGGAGTCTGCCTGCAGTCTGCATACTGCTAGATTGTGTTTAATTGTTAGCAGTAGTATTCATCCATTGCTTATAATTTATCACTGCTCTTGCACAAAGAATTTAAACATTGAAAAAATCCTGTTGTTTGGTAAAGTAAAGCATTAATTTCACTCAGTGAAAGAGGACAAAGCTTTTAGTGCTAAAATAGACACAAAAATACATTTGTGAAATTGAGTGTGTGCATTTGTGTGTAGATAAGGCATAAAATAGTGCTGCATGAATGTGTGTGTGGTGGTTTGAGTGAACAAAAAAGCCCTATATAAAGTTTATACAGACCCATCACAGTAGAAATGACTGTCATAGTAATTTTGGGCTTTTAATCGTTTCTTTGAACTCTTCCTTTTCCAGGCATCTTTAACACGTTTAAAAAACTAGCATTGAGTGCACGAGTTTGAGTTCAAGAACTGACCTCATATCCCACTGCTCACCATTGGTGCTAGTTTCAGTCGTACATAAACAGTACGTGTATCTTAAGGCTGGGAAACCTGCAGTCAGCTGAGACTGAAGAAGTCACTTGAATGAGTGACGAAACGTTTCTCCCACTCAAAACATCCAGATCAACAGAATCAACTTTTGGGAACAACCTGAACTGCTTGTCAGACAAATTAGCTGCTTACCTTGGACAACTCGTCACGTCCTGCTCTCCTGCCCAGCCCACAGACTGTCTTT